TTTTTAGTAGAGACGGGGTTTCACCATGTTGGTCAGACTGATCTTGAACTCCTGGCCTCAGGTGATTCGCCCACCTTGGCCTCCAAAGTGTTTGGATTACAGGCATGAGCCACCATGCCCAGCCTGTCATATTATCATTTATGACATTTGTCTGCCCTATGTCCACAAATAGATAGGTTGTTCCTTGTCTCCATGTCTAATTTAGATAGGTTTCAGTTTTTGTTGTTGTTTTGTTTTTTGAGACGGAGTTTCACTCTTGTCACTCAGGCTGGAGTGCAATGGCAAGATCTCGGCTCACCGCAACCTCCGTGTCCCCTGGTTCATGACTTTCTCCTGCCTCAGCCTCCCAAGTGGCTGGGATTACAAGTGCTCACCACCACACCTGGCTAATATTTGTATTTTTAATAGAGACAGGGTTTCACCATGTTGGCCAGGCTGGTCTTGAACTCCTGACCTCGTAATTCACCTGCCTCAGCCTCCCAAAGTGCTGGGATTACAAGCATGAGCCACCACACCCAGTCAGGTTTCAGTTTTGTTGTGAACAAAGCTATAGTTAAGATCTGGTGGAGCCCACTACCACTGCCTGGGAAGCCAAGGAAGAAGGTGCTACAGACATGGTTGTGTTAACCTACATAATAATTTCCCCTCTGCTCTTTGTCTTTCTTTCCTTCCCCTAATGCCTCCAGCCTTTCTTCTGCCTGGCATTGTCATGTCTTTCCTTTCTAACTGAATAATTTTTTTCTCTTCCAGCCTTCCTTTCTCTACTAGTAATAAATACAAATGGGGTTTCCTATACTTAAAAAACTGGCAAACAGCCAGATGTGGTGGCTGACACCTGTAATCCCAACACTTTGGAAGGCTGAGGTGGGTGGATCAAATGAGGTCAGGAGTTGGAGACCGGCCTGGCCAACATGGCAAAACTCGGCCTCTACTAAAAATAAAAAAAATTAGCCGGGTGCCGTAGCGCACGCCTCTAATCCCGGCTACTTGGAAGGCTGATGCAGAGGAATCACTTGAACCCGGGAGGCGAGAATGCAGTGAGCCGAGATCACCCCACTGTACTCCACCTGGGAAGACAGAGGGAGACTTTGGCTCAAAATAAATGAATGAATGAATGAATGAATGAATGCGGGCATGGAGATGGCCTGCATTAAAGGTTGTGGGAAGAGAAAAGAAGAGTCAGTAATGGGTGCAGAGAGGGAAGGTTTGAGGAGGGAAGTGTAGAGTCTAGGGAAGCCAAGTATAATTTCAAGAAGAGGAAGTGGCCCGGAAACTAGTGATGGAGAAAACATGGAAAAAGCTACTGCATTTGGTGAGCTCCTTCAAAACTTGAGAACAAAGGTGTGACAGAGCTATATGGTCTGAAATTCACACTAAGCACTAAATTCCTGCCACCATGGTAGGTTCTGGGGAAAGGAAAAACAGCGCAGTTCTGGACTCAAGAAGGCGTGGAGGAGGAAGTGAGATGTGAGTGAATAATTAAGATACAATGTTGATTCTGTCTTCACTGGCAGCAAGGAAAAAAAAAACAGATTAAAAAAAAAGAGAGAGATACAATGTTTAAGTACTTTGGTAGGGCATGGTGCCTCACGTATGTAATGCCAGCACTTTGGGAGGCTGAGGCGGGCGGATTACGATGTCAGTATTTCGAGACATGGTGAAACCCCGCCTCTACTAAAAATACAAAAATTAGCCGGGTGTGGTGGTGTGCTCCTCCTGTAGTCCCAGCTACTCGGGAGGTTGAGGCAGGAGAATTGTTCCAACCCGGGAGGCGGAGGTTGCAGTGAGCCAAGATTGCGCCACTGCACTCCAGCCTGGGCGACAGAGTGAGACTGTCTAAAAAAAAATTTTTTTTAAAGTTCTTTAACAGAGATGTGCACCAGGTACAAACATACAAATTGAAGCTCTGCGGAACTGCGGGGTCGGGACTGGGGAAGGGTTGGTAGGACCCGCTGCTGTCCCGGTGCGTGGTGGATTCTCAAGAATTCAAGGGGGCAATTCCAGCAGAACCGGCCTTTTGAGGCTTTGGGCAATTCTTGTGGGGACTGAGGGGAGAGAGATAAGGAAAGATGGGATACAGGCGTCTGGGGGCGAAGGGGTGCTAGCAATAACTGGATTCTATTTGAAAGATGCAGGGATGGAGTTAGACACCTGAAAGGATACAGAAAGGAGAGGCGAAAAGCTTATCTGAATTCTCCCTACTTTCTCAGAACTGGCGACCAGGTGGACCAAAAACAGTTAGCTGGACTACGCCATCTTTGGTATCCTTCCTGGGCTTCTATACCCTGCCGGAACTTGAGTATTCTGTTGCCTTGTTTGGTATCGGAAGGGAAAAGGAGATGGACCTATACGGGAAAAGTGGCTTCCGGGCGGAAGTCACACTAGAGGTTCCGGAGGTGAGCGGTCGCAGACAGGTGGTTGGTGTGTCCTGGGCGTGGGGAGGCGACAAAGCCCTAGCACTTGAGGGTTGAGGGGGCCGCTCCAGCGCGGCGAACGTCCAGACTCCGCAGGCTGGGCGGTAAGTGTGGGAGGTAAACGCCGAGGTGGGGGAGTTTTGCCACTCACTACTTGTGACCTCGGGTAAATTAGTCTTGGAACGTCAGTTTCCTCGTCTCTGTAATTGAAATAATAATAGTGCTTCTCTCAGGGTTGTTGTGAGCAGTCAATGAAACACAGCAGTTTCTGGAATTTGGTAAGCTACGGATATCTTTACTAATCGTACTCGCCTCTAGCTGCATGGATTATGATGTCGAAACCCACCGTCAACCTCAGGGCCGTATTGTGTAGTTAATAGGTTAGATTTTCAGTTTACTGGTAGAAAAAAAATGAAACAAAGCATTTATAATTAAAGTTATATTATTAGAGAAATAACACTACAGAGGGTTTGGAAAATATATATATATTTTTTTATTTGCAATTTTTTTTTTTTTT